CCATCAGCCCGCGGCCGTAAGAAGGCGTCGCCATGGCGTGACTCCATACGGGGGCTGCATATAGCATAGTTGCTCTAGCTGCGCTCGCTAAGAGGAGCTTGCTCGCTTGTCTTGGGCCGTGATGGTTCAGCATGATCCTTGAGAGTGCTCTCACTGTCGTGGCAGCCTTGGAGCTTGCGTAAGTCAGGTGTTCCCTGAAGGAGAGTCTGGAGTCGATCATCACTCCTAGGTATTTAATAGCTCTAGAAGATCTGACCGTTGCATCGCAGACCCGAACGCTTGTCACCTCCACCTTCTTCCTGCTGCTCACCAGGACGGCTTCGGTTTTCTGCGGCGCTAGCTGCAGTCCGGCGTTCGACAGCCACTCGTTGATTATGGCTATGCTCAGGCTGCTGGTCTCCTCTGCTCCTACGATCTCCTTTGCGACGGTGACCACCGCTATGTCGTCTGCGAAGCCCACAATCTCCGTTCTCCCTGGTAGTGGAAGCCGGAGGACGCCGTCGTACATTGCATTCCACAAAAGTGGCGCAAGCACGGACCCTTGTGGAACACCGCACGACAGCTCGACCGCTTGAGTACCGCTGTCCGAGTCTATCTGCAGCACCCTGTCGTGAAAGTAATTTCGCATCAGGTTAAGCAGATAGGTGGTAACTCCGAAGTTGGACAAGGCATCCATTATCCGGCCCCATCTCGCCGTGTTGAATGCATTGCGTATATCCAGGGTGACAATAAGGCAATACTCCTTAGAGCCCCCTTTCCATCGCTGTCCGGCGATCGCCGCGGAGGCAATGTCCACCACCTTGGAGATGGCGTCGACGGTAGACTTGGCCTTTCTGAACCCGTACTGGGAGTCAGAGAGACCTCCTGCCGCTACGATAGCCCTCTCCAGTCTCGTGCTGATTAGGTGTTCCAGCACCTTGCCGGCCCCGTCTATCAGGCAAATGGGTCTGAAGGATGCTGGATCATCCAACGGCTTTCCCGGCTTGGGCAGCAGAACCAGTCTCTGCGCTTTCCATCTTGAGGGGAAGAGCCCCACCCGCATGCATTTCCCGGACAGCACCGCGAATATGTCCGGGCGAAGACAAATGGCTAGCTTCAGCGCCCTGTTGGGAATGCAATCCGGGCCTGGCGCCTTCGTCACCTTGATCCTACCCGCCATCGCCAACATCTCCTCTTCGGAGACGGGCTCGAGCTCATGCATCGGGTAGTTGCCAGCCCCCGTGGCAAGCTCAGGGTTAGGCATCCTGGGGAATAGATGCGCAACTATCTTCCCGAGGCTTTCCGCGTCCAGTGGGGCGCAGTTGTTCGCTCTGCCGACTTTCTTTACAATTAATTTGTAAGCGTTCCCCCACGGGTCTCGGTCCGCTGCCTCGCAAAGCTCCAGAAAGCATTTTCTCTTGCTGCCCTTTATTGCCGCCTTGAGAGCTCTTCTGCACCGATGGTATGCCTCGCGCTTTACCAGGTGTGTCTGGGATCCGCGCGACCGTCGCGAAAGTCGCCTGGCTATCACGCAGTCCTTTCGTGCCTCTGCTATCTCCTGGTTCCACCAGTACACGGAGTCGCGGTGCCTAGAGTGGGCGGACCTGGATGGAATGCACTCCTCACAGGCCGATAGCACCTGACTCATCACCGAATTGGCCATGTCATCGGTGTCGCCTGACGCTTCCACTATCTGCATCCTTAGTGCAAAGGTTTGGGTGTCGAGCAAGTCGGCCTTGAAGCTTTTGCGCTGCTGCGCGGGGGGAGGTGGAGGAAGCGTACTGCGAACATCCAGCGTGGTGAAAATTGCCGCGTGGTCACTTGCCGTGTACACCCCGCTAAGTATCCACCTGCACTGCCCAGCTCTCGAGCGACTGGCGAAGGTGAGGTCCACCACCGATCCTGCTCCCGCCCTGCTAAAAGTGTGCTCCTGTCCTACGTTGAGTAAGGCCACATCTAGCGTTGAGAGCACTTCTAGGAGTGTTCTGCCACGGGCGTTTGTGGTAGCGCTACCCCAGTCGACCGCCCAGGCGTTGAGATCTCCCGCAAGCAGGGTCGGAGAGCGGCCTCTTGCGTCCGCGGCAAGCCTGTCCAGGATGACAGCGAACTCAGCTAGCGTGAGGCTAGGGGCGAGGTATGTGCTGTAGACCCACCAGCCTCCAACTTTGGCACGCACGAAGCCATTGTCCGCGTGGATGTTTTCTTAGCACTGCGAGATCGGTTCCGTATTCTCGGACCGTCTGCGACAGCAGGTCTTGCGCTGCCGCGCAGTGATTCAGATTAATCTGAATCACTTTCATGCCCTGTGTTTAAGGCCATCTCTGGACGACGCCACCAGTGGGCAGGAGCGGCTTCCGGCCTGGTGACTCGTGTCCATCCTTTTGAGCTGCTCGCACTTGAAGCAGTTCGCTGGATTAGGGCAGTCTGCTGCCTTATGCCCTTCCTTCCCGCATTTAAAGCAGGCCTTGCTTCTGTCTACGGAGCTCCAGCATCTGCTAGCCACGTGCTCCGTGTCCAGACACCTGTAGCACTTAAGCTGGGGCTCCAGCTCCTTGATCCGGCACCTGGTCCATCCGACCTTAACTTTGCCAAGTTTGATGAGCGCGCCTGCCACGCCCGCCGGAACCGTGAAGGTTGCGGCCTGGCTTCCTGAGGCCAAGGCGCGTATCCCTTTTATTGTCACCGAGTTCGGAGGGAGGTCCGCCTGCTTGACTAGCGCATTCGCTAGCTCCTCCTTTGTTGTTAGCTCGTCAAGGTCCCATATCCGGAAGGAGACCTGGGGCGTCATCGTGCGGATCGTGGCTCCAGCTCCGAGGGCTTTGCCAATCAGATCCCTGATGCCACTGGTTTTAGCCTCCGAGTTGCGCTTGATCTCCAGCAACAGCTCGCCTTTGGCTGTCTTCCTGACCCTGGAGACGCTGTCGCTAACTTCTTCCATCTTGGCGTCATTAGCTCGCGTAACCAGGCCGAGCACCTCGCTGTAGGACATCTCTGGAGGAGGGCTGATAATCAGCGCATCCTTGCCTCGTCTTCTAGGCCTCTCACGCCGGCCCGCTCCTGTACGAACACGGCGCGGATGTGCGGAGGGCGACTTCCTGTCCCCTCCATCATTGCCCTCGGCCATCCTCCTGGGGTTAGGAGGTTGTGCGCTACGCGCCTTGGGGCGTTTTGGGTCGCTTCCCGGGCCTTCCTTGACCGGTTGAACGCGTCTGCTCGGAGAGGTCTGTGCAGCTTTATTGGAGCGCGGAGTACAGATTTGGGCTGTCTGACACCCGCGATCCACTGAATCCTCAATCCGGCTGAGTGGGGTCCTAACTTCCGGGTGGCGCATAAAGGCTTCCTGGAGCTTTTTGAGCCTAGCGAAGGCATTCTTCATGCCTTGGTTGATGCTCCGCACCTTCTGCTCGTTGACCTTCATAAGCAGGTCTTCGAGGATCGTCCCCATCTCCACTAGTTGTGGTTGGGGGGCTCTTAGCCTCTTAGTAGGATGCTCGGGTCCTGTCGGACTCGGGGAGTCCCTGTTGCGTTTCGCTAAAGGGGTGCATGAGATATCCCCTTCAGCGGTCCCGCCTAGTGCCGGGGCAGCGGTGGTAATCGCCGCAATTCCTGGCGGGCTGCGCTGTGTGCGGGAGCCCTTCTGGAATGCACTTAGTTCGTCGTCTACACTTGTAGCTTTCGGGTTGACGTCGGCCAAGTGGGCCGCCGGCGTCGCCGTTGTAGGAGAAATGTAGGTTAGGGCCTCCAGAATCCGTGCCCTTGCCGCGGGATCAACCGCGGATGGATTTCCACATTTGTGGCTGCCACCTGGAGTAATACTGTTAATACTCGACATTTCTGTTTGTGCATTTTAGCCCAATGCGAGGCTGCATTTTATACCTTCTGCCAGGTAGGTTAAAACTGCCGGCCATTATGGCTCAGCCGCAGACCAAGTAGCCGCCCAATGTGGGTCAGACGCTACCTGGGTTTAGATTTCTGTGCAGCTGATACCTGCTGCCAGGCTAGTTCCACTGCCGGCCACTATGGCGCAGACGCAGATCACGCAGCCGCCCAGTATGGACAGACGCTGCGTGGAATAAGCCGTTGGGTGTGGCGAACACTTCCACCATATCGGGACGACACGGAGCCTCCCTCGCTGGTCGAATATTTCCCTCCGACTTCGTTTGTTGGGGGTTATACCGCCCCGCCTCGGTCGCCAGAGCCCCATTTTTGGGTGTGCCGCCAGGGCGGTGGGGATGGCAGTCGGTCTGATCCATGACCTTTTCCACCAATTGGCCGCTCGTGTGAACCTCGAATTCGATGGAACGTGGCCCAATTCCGTCTCCTTGCCAAGGACTTCGAGCAGCAGCCCTGGAATGTATGCTACGGATTTCCGCAGCGATCGTTTGCTGAAGTTTATAGCAATCAGCTTCTGACACCTGTCAGGGGTTTTACCCCGTAGGTGGCGCAAATGTGCGCATGTAGAGTGCATCGGCGCTGCAGCGCTGCCACTCAGCTGCAGTGCGCTCGTTACTCTACACTGTTCACCAGCTGATCGAGCAATCAGCTGACGTGACCGGCACAAAATTGTGAGGGCATCCACATTTGACCCAAAGAGAGAGTGCAGCGGCGGAAGAGAAGGAAGAGAAAGTTCCAGGGAAGAAAGATCCCCTCTTACCCCTATCCATCGTCCATCTCGCCGAAACATTGGGGCACCGCAGTGCCTTCCGCGGGCCGCAGGAGCAGTGCCTCGACAGGTAAGTCTGGAGGCTACACTCACCCTGCGTCCTACGTACTGTTACCACTTTTATTCCCCTAGGGGCACTGCCACAGCGCGAGTCTATTGCGGAGCCCCCGATGGGGCGTCCGTTCACCGCGACTTACACACACCGAGTGGGTTTTTTTTTTTTTTTTTTTTATTTAAAGATGAACAGGAAGTATTTTTACAAAAAATTTGGATAGTGGAAGTTTTGGAGAAGGAGTCCACTCCCGCGGGACTGCCGCGAAGCTATACTTCGCGGGGTGGCTGGCGGTCAGGTTGCCGCTCATCTAAGGCCCTCAGTGCGTCGGGTCTGCTCCCGGCGCCTTAGCTCCCTCATGACGGTTGCTGCCATGTCCGTAACCGCATCCCAGTTGGATGGGGTCTCCAGCATACACCCAATTATGGTCTCGGGTGTAAGGCGACGGTTGGTTGTTGCCTCTGCTGCCTCTCTTTCCGCGCGGAAAAGCGGACACTCGAAGAAGGCGTGTTCTGCATCCGCAACGGATGCACCGCCGCAATAGTCGCAGGATGGGTCGGCCTCGTGCTTGAATCTGTGAAGATAGGCCTTGAAGCATCCGTGGCCCGTGATCAGCTGCGTTGTGTAGAAGTCTACTTGCCCGTGACGTCTGTGTATCCACTGATCCAGATCGGGGATGAGCCGATGTGTCCAGCGTCCAGTGCTCGCGTTATCCCACCTCGCCTGCCACCTTGCGACAGTGGTGCTCCTCTGGGTTCTGCTGCCCGAGTTACCGGTCCTGCGTTCCGCTGCCAGCAGGTCGATAGGGATCGATCCGGCTACCACCAGCGCAGCTTCTTCAGAGACCGTGCAGAAGCAGCTGGAGATGCGCAGCGCGCAGCGTCGATACACCGTCCTGCATTGGCGGCTGTAGCTCGCAACCAGCATGGCCTCCGACCATATCGGTGCGGCGTAGAGTAGGGTTGACGTCACGACTGTTGATATCAGCCGTCTACTGTGCTGCCTAGGACCGCGCGTGTTGGCCATCATCCTCGAGATGGCGGCAGTGGCCTTGGACGCCTTGGCCGCTGAGTACTCCAAGTGACACTTGTAGTTGAGCCTGTGGTCGATCAGGACCCCAAGGTATTTAACCGTCGGGCTTGACTCGATGGTGGTCGAGCCGACCCGGAAGTTCACCTTCTCGACAATCTTTCGGCTACTGATAAGTACGGCCTCCGTTTTCTGCTCGGCAAGGGAGAGACCGTTGTCTGCTAGCCACGACATCAGAATGTCTATCGCATGGCTACATTTAGTAGAGACGTCTTATAGGTGTTTCTCCACCGTGACAAGCGCGATATCGTCTGCAAAGCCAATTACAGAGCAACCTTCGGGTAGTGGCAGCCTCAGTATGTCGTCATACATGACGTTCCACAGAAGTGGCCCGAGGACTGAGCCTTGGGGTACGCCTCCTGTCACGTGATGTATCTGTTTTCCGGCGTCGGAGCTGTATAGCAGGACGCGGTCCTTGAAGTAATCGGCAATCAGCTGGATAATGTAGCCAGATATGCCGCCACGCTGGAGTGCTTGGAGGATTAGACTCCAATTTGCAGAGTTGAACGCGTTTTTGACGTCCAAGGTGCATACGAGGCAGTACTTCTTGGAGCGTCCTTGCCATCTTTCGCCTTCAATGGCCTTTTCCGCAAGCTGTGTTACCTCGCGGATCGCATCAATGGTGCTTCGCTTCTTGCGGAAACCGTGCTGATGGGTTGATAGGGCACCGCGCTCCTCGATTTCCCTCTCTAGTTTGTTGCCTATGATGCGCTCGAATATTTTGCCAATCGTATTCAGCATGCATAGGGGCCGAAATGAGGACGGGTCGTCGTTCAGCTTGCCAGGCTTCGGGATGAGCACGAGTCTCTGCTGCTTCCAAGCTCTTGGGAAGGTTTTCTCAGCAATGCATGTGTTATACAGCTGCACAAATAGCTTCGGGTAAGCCTTCACTATGGCATGCAGAGCTGCATTGGGAATGCCATCTGGTCCGGGGGCCTTAGATGCTTGGCAGCTTGTCAGCGCGCTAAGGACTTCCTCTTCGCAGGTGGGGATCGGTTCGCCCGCAGCCACGCTGGGTAGTCTTAGTGGCGGCTGTGGCGGGAACAGCGTGTCAACTATTGTTCCCAGATGCTGCTGGGAGGTTGGAGTCGGCTGCCTGGTTAGCTTACCCGTAACCATTTTGTAGGCTGAGCCAAACGGTTCTTTGTCAGCCGCATCGCAAAGCTCCTGGAAACACTTGTGCTTGCTGGTCCTGATCGCCACCTTGAGGGCCTTTTTCATTTCCCTGTACCGTGACTCGTACAGCTCCTGCGTGGTGCGTCCTCGGCTTCTTTGGCATTTCCGCCTTGCAGCGAGACATTTGCTTCTGGCTGAAGCTATTTCCTGGTTCCACCAGGGGACTGGTCGCCTTCCGCCTCCCTTGGTGGATTTCTCCATTGCCGCGTCGCAGGCTGCCTTGATCCTGGCGGATATGACATCCGCGCAGGTGTTTGCCTCGCCTGTAATGGTGTTGGCATCCATGCAGCTTAGGAGCACCTCGGAGTTTAGGGTGTGTACCCTGTAGGCAGTTTCCCGGCTGGTTTGGTGAAGCTGATTTTGTCTCGTTTGGAAGACGATTGCCGCGTGATCGCTATAGGTGAGCAGGTGGGTGACTTCCCAGTAGCTGTTCCTGGTGAGCTCTGGACTGGCGAAGGTCAGGTCAATGTATGACTCACGACCTGACTTGCTAAATGTGCATCTTCTTCCATCATTTAGTAGGCAGACATCCAGGGTGGAAAAGGCGTCAAGGATGATAGTTCCGCGCTGGGTCGTTCTCGTACTCCCCCCAGGCTGTGGACCATGCATTAAAGTCTCCAGCGATTATCACCGGTGATCGTCCGCGAGCATCTTGGGCGATCTCTTGCACTATCTCCCTGAACTCGTCTGTGTGCAAGCTCGGGGCTAGGTAGCAACTGTATATGGTTGTCCCTTGAAACTTAGCCCTGGCATAGCCAGGCCTCGTCGCCCTCTGCGCTAGGTGGCACGGGGGCTGCCCGCAGCTCCAAATGGCTGCGCCGCCATTGGTGCTTTGTTGCCAGACTCCTTCTGGTTTTGGCCGGTAGGGCTCGCTCAGTATAGCGACGTCGATGTTCTGCTCGCTGACCGTCTGGGTCAGTAGATCTTGGGCTGATCTACAGTGGTTAAGGTTGAGTTGAAGAACCCTAACCATTGATATGGTTATGCGTCTCTCGCAGTCTTGCCACCTCGCGTGCATAGAATGCATCTGGGCTTGCCCTGGCACGTATAGTGCTTGTGGCCGGTGCCTCCACATTTAAAACATGCTTCCTGTGTGGCTTTGGCCGTAGCTTCAGAAGCGCGGCATCTTGCCGAGGTGTGACCGAAGCCCATGCATTTATAGCAGCGCCTCGGCTCCAATTTCTCCCGGATGCGGCATACTACCCATCCAATTCGGATCTTGCCCTTCTCGAGCAGTCTCCGCGCGTGCTCGGGTCTCAGGCTTACCGTCGCAATTTGCGTTCCTCCAAACGCTTTCCGCATTCTGGGCGCAGTGTCGCTTGGGATGTCGCAGTCCTCTCCCGCAAATAGTGCCATTGTGACCTCCTCCCCGCTGGTCAAGTCATCAAGATCACGGATCTCCACCTGGACCGTCTCCTGCATGACGGTCACCTCCGCCTTGCCGGAGATGGCCGTTTTGAGGGCCGCTTGCAGCTGCTGTGTGGATGGGTCGAGGGACTTCTGCATCCGTACAAGGAGTCCGCCATTGGCAGCCCTTCGCAGGCCTTGCACGCCTTCCTTGAGTCCTTGGAGTGAGGGCTCCGTCTTAACAATCCTCAGCATGTCTGCATAGGACTCGCGGGTGTAGCACTAGGGGCCGTGCCAGACAGCGTGGGGGTGGTCTGCTGGCTTGCGCAAGCCGTGGAGCCCTTGGTGTGGCCGCCGGCCAATGACGCGCTGATGTCAAGCTGCAGCTTCTTCATAGCGATCATCGCGTCGATCGTCCCCTGCGTAACGTGGCGGACCACCTTCTTGTTGTTGCCTTTCGTGTCGGTGAACTTGGTCACCATTTCGTCCAGCATTGCGCCCAGTCTCTCCACTAGAACGGCCGTGTTTGCTTCCGAGTGGGTGTGTGTGTGGGTGTGTGTGTGCTTAAGCTTAATTTTAGGTATAATATTTACATAGTTAGTTCTAAGCTTAATTTAGAAAATAGTTATTTATATATATACATGTTAGTGACGACCAGTCGAGTCGTCACACTATGCGTGAACATTCTGCCAAGGGCCAGCAAGGTGTAGGTGTACATTCAAATTAGTGGACGGTATTTATTTATTTGATATATTTTGCAACAAACATTTTGCAATGGCTCTGTATCATGGCTTAATATACAATACAATTTCAAATACAAACATAATTTCAGGTTCATGTGTGAACATTCTGCCAAGGGCCGGCTAGGTGTAGGATTTTAGCTTATCAACTTCTCAAAAAATACAATACAATTTCAAATACAAACATAATTTTTCAAGAATTATAAATTTAACATTTATAGATTGGGTGTACGGACATCGAAGGTTACGGCTTGTAATTGCCTGATTAAGTTACACTTACGTAACTAATATATAAAATAAGTACAATTATCATACATATGATTAAAGAGGTATGACCCGATATGTGGTGCACACTTTTCCCTTTTATATATGGGGCATATCCCTTTTCCATGTATATCTCTGGTTGCATTTTTTGTCAAATTTTCTAACTTGTGCCATTGCTTGTGGCTTTGATTCTCCTAGTATCTTGTTTAGTTTATTTCGTTGTCTTTAATGTTGCTTATTTTATAATACACTTTAGTTCTTGTCTTTTTCGTTTACAAATTACGTCTTCTGTCTTTGGCTTCTCTCGAACAGTGATCTGTCACTCTCAGGCAGCATGCATTCAAATTCATTAGCAGCGCTCTCTGAGAAAGAAAGTAACCTGCTTACCTGCTCTCTCAGAGAGCGTAGCTCAACGATAGTGCTACCAGATCATAATTACGTTAACTTGCCTGCTACAACTCGGTCGTCCTGACTTTGAGATAGCCCTCTATCTCTGACTTAATGTTATAGCTTAATTACAATTTTAACATATTTACAATTCGTTTCAGTATTACAATTTGTTTTTCCTTACTTTACAATATTACAGTTAAACATTTTATCGTTTTATTATGATTTTATCCAATGTCTAATATTATTTCCACTTCACACGCCCTGGTATGGATTGGGAGACAACTGAAACCCATCAATATCTTTAAGAACATATCTGTAATTTTTTTAAAACTAACAATTACATAAGGACCCTTAGTCTTCCGAATGAGCTTTCTTGCAGCACCCACAGTAATATCGAAATTCTTAATCATGACGTAATCTCCTTTATATTCTGTTACCTTCTTCTTTTTCGCATTGTAGTATTCTTTATTTTTCATTTGATCTAACATCTAACATTTTATCCCTCCCAATATGACCCATTTCGTCATGGTATTTGTATAACACGTGTTCCTCCATTCCTCCATAATCAGTTGTCATTACTTTTTTTATAAATCACACCATTTCTCATATCTTATGCTCGCTGCTTTCCAACATTTTCCTAATTTCTTGAACCTTTGCATCTTTTGATTGACAAATTACTAAATTTGTTTCGAATGTATTTGTCTCCACTATCATTATGTTGTTGCATTTGCTTAAAGCATCTACGTGCTGCATTTGTTTGCCTGATCTATGCTTTAATTCATAGTCGAACTCTTGCAATGCTAAAGCCCACCGTGCTATTCTTGGATTCAACTCAATCTTATTGAGCGTTAACGTTAGAGAGTTGCAGTCTGTAACAATTTTAAAACGTTTGCCTAGTAAATATATTCTGAACCTTCTTAACGCGTAAATTACGGCTAAAGTCTCTACCTCAAAACTATAATACTTTGCTTCCGTTGTAGTCGATCTTTTTGAAAAATAGAAAATAGGATGCAATTTGTTGTCCTCTTTTTTCTGAAGAAGCACAGCCCCAAATCCTAAAGCGCTTGCATCACAGTGAAGCTCGACATCATCTCTGTAGTCGTATATCGCTAAAAATGGCGCTTCCATTAATTTCGCCTTCAACAGCGAAAAACAATCTAATTCTTCTACTTCGAACTTAAAAACTCTATCTTTTCTTAACAAATCATACAATGGTTTCGCTAATATCAAAAAATCCTTCATGAATCGTCGAAAATACGAGCAAAGACCTAAAAATCTTTGAACTGCTTGCACCTTGCCTGGAACCGGAAAATGTATCGCTTCTAAACCTTTACTGTTAGCCTTAATCCTAATCAATAATCATTCAAATATAATAAAAAATAAAAATTTGGATTTGTCCATTCTCAACTCTAATTTTATTTCTACTAGCCTTCTACTTTTAGTAAAACTTCTAAATGTTCTTCTAAATTTTTGCTTGCCACTAAAATATCGTCCATATATATGATCACCTTCTTTTGCCTTATCATGTCCGAAAATATGTCATTAACGAATCTCTGGAATACCAGAGGAGCTGTTTTTAGACCCATAGGCATCCGCAAGAACTCAAATTGCCCCAATGGGGTGGTAAAAGACGTAAATTTTACTGACTCTTTGTTAAAAAGTACATGAAAATATCAATTTTTAAGATCTAATTTCGTAAACTCTGATTTTTCAACTAAAATATCCAAAAGGTCATCAATCAATGGTATCGGATAAATATCCTTCGACATGATTTTGTTCAGTCTTCTAAAATCGATACAAAGTCTTAGTTCGCCCGACTTCTTCCTTACTAATACAATAGGAGAAACATACTCCCATTTACTAGGTTGAATAATTCCATCTCTAATGCATTCCTTTAACATTTTCAACAGTGCTTCTTTTTCACTATATGACAGTTTCCTCGGTGCGTAATAGAGGTCTGCATGAATTAATTCAAAACGGCATATGAGACATTCATATCTCAGTGAATTGAATGAATTCGGCTGCGAATTCCACTGAATTTGAGTGAATGCGTGCGCCGTCGTTGTACTCACAACTACACACTCACACATAGGGAGAGCGAATTGAATGCCGACAGAGCCGAATACAGAGAATGAGTATTCGTTTACGTGCGCTTACAGTGGGAAACATAATTTGATGACATATAATTGACTTCATTAATTTAAACTTTTTTCTTTAGTGTTTGTATTTGTTTATTTATATTATAACTTTGCGAACTCATCGTGCCGAACGCTTGCAGAAAAGTAACACGCGCTGCGCAATATGACTGCGCAGTCGTTGTATTCTGAGTATTCTAAGAATTCTTTGCTGCCTTCGTTCATTCATTCTGTTTTGCACACGCATTCACTCAATTCAGTGCGTTATGAATACTCAAAATTTCGCAGAATTGAGTACAGAATGAGATGCGAACTCGATCAGCTGAATGCGTTGTACTCAAAAATGAGTACAACATTCAGAAGTACTCAGTGAAGCTTATGCTTGAATGCGGCCATGCAGACCTCTAGTGCGCAACTAAATGGTTTCGAGTTTTCTAACACTATGTTCATTTCACATATTATTTTCGGATTTTCAGGTCGCTCTACTTGAACATAATGTGTCTCTAACAACTTAATAAACTTCTCTCGATCCCGGTAGCTAATTTTTTCCCCAATAATAAAGCTATTTTCCTTTTCACCATCCCCTAAAATATTAATAATCATAATTTCTCTTGCGAAATCGTCTCTATTATTTCCTAAAGTCTCTGCAAAAATTTAGCTTTCTAACCTTTTTTCTTCTTAAATCTCATTTCCTAAACTTTTTCCCAAAATTTCACTTTCTAAACTTTCTCCTTACATTTCATTTTCCAAACATTCTTCTAACATTTCACTTTCAAAACTTTCTTCTAACATTTCATTTTCTAAACTTTCTTCTAACATTTCATTTTCTAAACTTTCTTGCTCAAATTCTTCATCCGCTTCCTTAGATTCCTTAGTGTTATTCAATAAACAAATATTTGTCTTATTCTTAATTTGGGTTTCAGTTCCCTTAACGGTAATCATTTTTAAGGTTTCTAAATTAATTTTCAAATTACAAGCTTCCATAAAGTCCCTACCCAGCACAATATTACAGTTCATTGAATCGCAGCCACAGCAATTAAATTTAAAAAAAAATCTTTATTTCTTCTTTCATTATGAAACATAACCTCTTTCCATAGCTTCTTAGTATGCTTTTATTTAATCCATAATATAGCTCTTCATGAAGATCTAATCTAATATTTTTGGGTAAATAAGAATATTTTATCAACGAGACTGGGCTTCCTAAATCGATCAAGCATTCCGTAATAATTTGCTGGTTAGAGTTTTCATAAACAAAAATATTGAACAATCTTACATAATTATTCGTAGCATCCTTCTTGTTTTGGGGGCACTTGCACATCCATATCAAGACCTAGGAGTCCTCTTCGATTTTATGCAGTCTCTTGCCCAGTGTCCTTTACCGTTACAGTTATAGCAACGCGTCTCCTTGCTCGCTAGTTCATCCTTCGACACGTAGCCACCAAACGCATGAAATAACTGGTCCACCAGCTCACTCGTCGATTCTCCGAACCTGGTTGCATCTGCGTGCGGCCACTGCAACGCGCTGCCTTTCAGCTTTTCAATCAGCAAAACTCTACTCTGGGTGTCCGTTAGCTTGTATAATCTGGCAACATTCTCCCATTGGCAGACACAGGCACGAACAGACTTGATTTCAGAAAAATACAATAGGATTTCCTTTGCCAAGCCAAATCCGGCTGACGAAAAATCGTCTCGAACGCCTTTTCCACTTTTAGCGTCGCTGCTGCCGTTTTGCCCGTTGTCGTTTCGTCCGAAATTTCCAGAATTCTCGCTGGCGTCTCTTTCATTCCTCTCTACCTCATTCGCCATACCCGTGCTTTGCTCGCCATCTCTTTCGCTTCTACGTACATCATCTGCCGCACTGTTGCTACGCTCGCCATCTCTTTCGAATGAACCGAAATATAGAAAATTTAATTTAAATAATGTACATAACTTGTTTAGGTAAGCGGCCCATCGTACCACCGCTGCTTGCTGAGTTTTCCGCTCTCGCCCCTCTTGCTCTCCCGCAGCGCTGAGCGCTTTCGCACTCTCGAGCCAAGGTTTTAATTCCACCTTTCCGGCTTCATAATAATTTTTCGAATTCTTAGTGGATCATTTGCGGCCGAATTTAATAACTAATTTTTTGACCCAATAATTTTTTTTCGAATTATTGGTGGATTAATTCATTTATTGCGGGAAGAAACCAAACATTCGTGGGTCTCTGTTTAGTCCTGTTCTGAGCCGACCAAAGCCGGATACAACCTTCTCGTTTGAGATACATAAATTCATATATTTTGTTCGTCGACATTCTGGTCTACGTTCGCTGTTTTTTGTCCAAGTAGGCTCCCGAAGCCCTCACTCGAGTTATTTGCTCCTACACGAGTTTTCGTGAATTTTCTCGGTTGTGCCCAGAGGCTCTCAGAACCTGAGCCCGGCGCTTATTTTTCGGATTCGGCGACCCATTCCAGTTCAAGAATGCCCACGGGAGACGAGAAGAAGATTCCTCCGATCCCATCAAGGTCCCAGTCCGAATCTCCGCAGCCTTCTCAATTACAGCCAAAGTCTGCCACTGCCATTCCAAGGGCAAAAAGTCAAGAGGCCGTCGACACTTCCCCCGGTCCCTCATCCAGACTTACTCGGTCGGTATCCAAGATGGCTCAATACGCTGGTGATTATCTCCGGTGGCCCACCTTCAGAGACCTTTTCACCGCGATATTGTAAGGATGTGTCTTAGGCCGGGGTAAACCTCAGCGGCCTAGGATTCCTCTCCAGAAATATTTATATTTTAGAGACGGCCAGGACATGGACGCCGAATTTTTATTGAACTTTCTAGGGGCGAAATGGCAGCGAAAAGGGGCTCGTTTTCAAAAGGGGAACTCTGGCTTCGGGAAAATGGGAATCTTGGACGGTCACCCTGGCGATGGCCAGGTGCTCCTCCGTTTTCCTGCGCCCGCTCGGTTGCCCAGCAGCGGCGACTCTTTCGATCGGCAAAATCTCCGCCGCCCGGGATGACCCAGCGGCGATGACGGGCAAAATGCAGATCGGAAGGGAAAGGGAGAGGGGAAGGGGAAACCTAAAACGCGCGATCACCCTGGCGATGGCCAGGTGCTCCTCCGTTTCCTGCGCTCGCCCGGTTGCCCAGCAGCGGCGACTCTTCCGATCGGCAAAATCTCCGCCGCCCGGGATGACCCAGCGGCGATGGCGGGCAAAATGCAGATCGGAAGGGAAAGGAGAGGGTAGAGGGGAAAATCGTTGAGCACGTGCCGGCGGCGATGAACTCGTAGCTCGGGAGAACCCAGCAGCCCCGAAGCCCACGCCAGATCTGTGCCCGGGAGAGCCCAGCGGCGACAAATCCCGCTCCCGTCCCGCTTCTCCGGCCCGGAGCTTGCCCAGCGACCACGCGGAGTTGGTGCGGGAGAACCCAGCCACCAGCTCGGCAAGTGAGTGAGCGGGAGGGGAACACTTTGGCACGCGTCAGAATAAGGGTTGACTGTTGCTACGCGGAGTTCGGTGGGAGAGAGAGAGAGAAAGAGATACGACTTTGATCTTCATTTTTATTGCTTAACTATTTTGTACATTTATTCCTAACTTTGGCTACGGCTACAATGCCCTGCCTGGCCCTACGCCACACTCCAAGAATCTGCCCTCACATGGCACTCGGCCGGCTCACCTGCTATTTTCGGTGGGCTGGGACACGTGTCCGGCAGCGAGGATCTGAGTTAAAACTCGCGGGTCCTTTTGGACTTAGTCGGATTGGAAATTATTTCCACGTGTCCTTTTGGACTTGTCGCCCGCGTCGGGAGGTAAGCGTACTGTTCGCCTTCGAAGCTGCCAGAGAAGAGATCGCGGTCGCAGCTTGCAAAGCCCTTGTCGCCTCGTCTCTGCCAGAAATGTCCGGGCAGCGCAGCTTTCGGCCGTCGGCTTTGTTATTGTTATTGTTTATGTTTTGATCGGCATGTAAATACACACGACCAAAACGTAAACACGCACGATCGTCGGAGGGGAAATATCGCTGTCTCTGCCGCTGTTCGCGTCGGCAGCGGAGAGGGGAAATGTCTTCAGCGCGGTCGCTACAGTCCGTGTTGGAAAAATGTATACGCCTGTGCGTTGCGGCTGCGACTGGTGATGGCTGGGGCCCGGCCTTGTAGCGGCGAAGATCCAGCCACGGTCGCCACGGTGGGCGACTTCTGGAGGGAGTCGTTGTGGCCCAATGGGGCCGATGTGCCTGGGCACTAGGGGCGGCATTCCCCTTGCAGATGATGGTCGTAGTTCGGCGTGGTCATCCGCGTTCACCCCCCTCCTCGTCATCGCCGCGGTGGTGGGCGACTTCCAGAGGGAGTGGTCGTGGCCCGCTGGGGCTGGTATGCTGGGACTCCATGTCGTCGGCGTCGATGGTGATGTCCTCGACGGGTAGAGCCCGTGGCCGGAAGGGGTCGGCGAGGCTGTCGCTGGGAAGCGGCTGGCTTGGCCGGCGCCGTGGAGCGCCTGTAGGAGCTCGTCGACCGCACCGTACATCCATGCGGTGTCCTGTGGCGCCGGGGCGGGAGTCGGCGGATGGCCTTGTCCGTCCATCGTCTGGTTGGCCTCGGTGCTGCGGAATCTGTGGAGCGTGTGGCTCGTCGTGCCTTGTGGTAGGCGGGCTGAAGGCGGTTGTCGCTATTTAAGGGGTCGATCGGTGCGCATGAAGATGCGATGCTCTGCGATGTGTGATACCCCTGAGAGAGTATCAAATTTGGCCAGTTCCTGGTCCAGGAACTCCTTCACCCAAGGCTCGGGGTAATCCGGCGTCTCGGGTTCCTCTGTCTGGAAAGAGACCTGATCCTCTGTGGGATGACTCACCGAATTGACGGTTCCGCATAGGGGCGGGCTTGGCTCCGGCGTTTCCTCGCCGTGATCCTGGAAGCGGACACGTTTTGGGGAGGTACGGAAGGGATTCCGTTGCGCGGCTGTGGCATCTGCCACGGGCAAAGCCTGTCTCCAACAGGGCGGCTGGTTCTCCGTCGCTGGTGATGCTGTGCCTCGAAACTGTGCTCGAGGCGAGGTGCTTGGCTGGTCTTCGAGTTCGGAGCGTGGCTCCCTTGGCTGCCCTCGATGGGTAGAGCGTGGCTCTCCTTGGGCTGTCGTCTGTGGCTTCTCGGCGTGGGTGGAGTGTGACTCCGTTGTCGTCCTTCGCTGATCAGAGCGTGGCTCTGCATGAGGTGCCCCTGGTGGTTCTTCGGATGTGGAGCGTTTTTTTTTTTTTTTTTTTTTTTTTAAATTTTTTTATTTAGAGTTAAATGTACATAGAACATGTACATAATGGAAAATGGGGTTACAGTAGATGGGGCATAACGCTCGCGCGGTACGGCCGCGAAGCAAAGCTTCGCTCGGGCGCCGCTCCCCATTACGTCTGCTCCTGGTTCCTGCGCCTTTCCTCGGTCCTGAGCTTGCCCATGATCGTGGCGGCAAAGCTGGAGACTCCCTGCCAGTTTTCCTCGTTCCTCAGCATCTCAGGAACAAGGTTTTCTACCGTGATGCTGGTCCTTAGAAGGGTCTCAACCGTGCGACGCTCGTTCTCGAATTTTACGCACGAGAACAGCACGTGCTCTGCTGTCTCCTCGACATCATGGCCGCAACGACTGCAGCCTCCACTCTCCTCGTGGCCGAACCTGTGCAGGTAACTTCTGAAGCAACCGTGGCCACTGAGGATCTGGGACAGGAAGAAGTTCACCTGCCCGTGCGCCCTCTTGGTCCACACCTCTAGACGCGGTATTAGGCGGTGCGTCCAACGCCCTTTTGATGAGGCATCCCATCTTGCTTGCCAAGCGGTTAGAGATGCACTCTTTGCAGCTGCTCGTGCCTCCTTCTTCTCCCCGGACGATAGGACTCGGCCGTGGACCTTCTTGTGTATTTCTGCTTGCTCCTTGGCCAGCAGATCTATCGGCGGGGTGCCAGCTATAACCAGCGCCGCCTGGTCCGAGACCGTCCGAAACGCACTGCAGATGCGTAGAGCGGCCAGACGGTGTGAGGCAACCAGACCACGACTGTACGAAGGCGATGCCATGGCGTGACTCCACACAGGGGCTGCGTACAGCATGGTCGCTCTAGCTGCGCTCGCTAGAAGGAGCTTGCTCGCTTGCGTACGTCAGATGCTCCCTGAAGGAGAGTCTGGTGTCGATCATCACTCCTAGGTATTTGATAGCTCTAGAAGATCTGACCGTTGCATCGCAGACCCGAACGTGGCCACTGAGGACCTGGGACAGGAAGAAGTTCACCTGCCCGTGCGCCCTCTTGGTCCACACCTCTAGACGCGGTATTAGGCGGTGCGTCCAACGCCCTTTTGATGAGGCATCCCATCTTGCTTGCCAAGCTGTTAGAGATGCACTCTTTGCAGCTGCTCGTGCCTCCTTCTTCTCCCCGGACGATAGGACTCGGCCGTGGACCTTCATGTGTATTTCTGCTTGCTCCTTGGCCAGCAGATCTATCGGCGGGGTGCCAGCTATAACCAGCGCCGCCTGGTCCGAGACCGTCCGAAACGCACTGCAGATGCGTAAAGCAGCCAGACGGTGTGAGGCAACCAGACCACGACTGTACGAAGGCGATGCCATGGCGTGACTCCACACAGGGGCTGCGTACTGCATGGTCGCTCTAGCTGCGCTCGCTAGAAGGAGCTTGCTCGCTTGCCTTGGGCCATGGTGGTTCAGCATGATCCTGGACAGCGCTCTCACTGCCGTGGCAGCCTTAGAGCTTGCGTACGTCAGATGCTCCCTGAAGGAGAGTCTGGTGTCGATCATCACTCTTAGGTATTTGATAGCTCTAGAAGATCTGACCGTTGCATCGCAGACCCGAACGCTTCCCACCTCCACCTTTTTCCTGCTGCTCACCAGGACGGCTTCGGTTTTCTGCGGCGCTAGCTGCAATCCGGCGTTCGACAGCCACTCGTTAATGATGGCGATACTCTGGCTGCTGGTCTCCTCTGCTCCCTTGATCTTCTTTGCGACAGTGACCACCGCTATGTCGTCTGCGAAGCCCACAATCTCCGTTCTCCCTGGTAGTGGGAGCCGGAGAACACCGCACGACAGCTCGACCGCTTGAGTACCGCTGTCCGAGTCTATCTGCAGCACCCTGTCGTGAAAATAGCTTCGCATCAGGTTGAGCAGATAGGTGGGAACACCGAAGTTGGACAAAGCATCCATTATCCGACCCCATCTCGCCGTGTTGAAGGCATTGCGTATGTCCAGGGTGACAATAAGGCAATATTCCTTAGAGCCCCCTTTCCAGCGCTGTCCGGCGATAGTCGCGGAGGCAATGTCCACCACCTTGGTGATGGCGTCGACGGTCGACATGGCCTTCCTGAAGCCGTACTGGGAGTCAGAGAGGCCTCCTGCCTCTACTATGGCCCTCTCCAGTCTCGTACTGATCAGGTACTCCAACACCTTGCCGGCCCCGTCTATCAGACATATGGGTCTGAAGGATGCTGGGTCGTCCAGCGGCTTTCCCGGCTTAGGCAACAGGACCAGCCTTTGCGCTTTCCACCTTGAGGGAAAGAGCCCTTCTCGCATGCACTTGTCAAACAGCGCCGCGAATATATCCGGACGGAGACAAATCGCCAGCTTAAGCGCCCTGTTGGGAACGCAGTCCGGGCCTGGCGCCTTCGCCACCTTGATCCTTGCCGCCACTGCCAGCATCTCTTCTTCGGAGACGGGCTCCAGCTCATGCAACGGGTAGGTGCCAGCCCCTGCTGCAAGCTCCGGGTTAGTCATCCTGGGGAACAAGTGCGCGACTATCCTCTCGAGACTTTCGGCGTCCAGTGGGGCGCGGTTGTTGGCTCTACCGACCTTCTTCACGATAATCTTGTACGCATTTCCCCCACGGGTCTCGGTCAGCTGCCTCGCACAGATCAAGGAAGCATTTCTTCTTACTGCCCTTTATTGCCGCCTTGAGAGCCCTTCTGCACCGGTGGTATGTCTCACGCTTTGCCAGGTGTGACTGGGAACCGTACGACCGTTGGTATTGCCGCCTGGCTCTTACGCAGTCCTTCCGTGCCTCTGCTATCTCGTGATTCCACCAGTACACAGAGGTGCGATGCCTAGAGTGGGCGGTCCTGGAAGGAATGCACTCCTCGCAGGCCGTGAGCACCTGCGACATCACCGAGTTAGCCATTGCTTCAGGGTCGCCCGTCGCTTCCACTCTCTGCATCCTAGACGCGAAACTTGGGTGTCGAGCGAATCCACCCTGAAGCACTTGCGCTGCTGCGCGGGGGGAGGTGGTGGCCGTGTGTTCCCGGCGTCCAACGTGGTAAAGATCGCCGCATGGTCGCTTGCCGTGTACACCCTGCTGAGCATCCACGTGCACTGCCCTGCTCTCGACCGACTGGCGAAGGTGAGGTCTACTACAGAACCAGCTCCCCCCCGGCTGAAGGTGTGTTCCTGTCCTACGTTGAGTAGGGCCACATCCAGCGTTGAGAGCACTTCTAATAGGGTTCTGCCACGTACGTTTGTGTTTGGGCTACCCCAGTCGACTGCCCAGGCGTTGAAATCGCCCGCTAGCAGAGTCGGAGAACGGCCTCTAGCATCAGCAGCGAGCCTGTCAAGGATAACAGCGAACTCTGCTAGCGAGAGGCTGGGGGCGAGGTATATGCTGTAGACCCACCAGCCTCCAGCTTTGGCACGCACGAAGCCTTTGTCTGCGAGGACATTCTCCAGCCGCAGGGGCGTGTTTCCGCAAACCCACAGAGCTGCCTTGCCGGATCTATCCACGGCCCAATTGTGATTGCGTCCGCCTCTGTACGGCTCGCCTAGCACAGCAAGCTCGGCTCCGCTTTCGCGGACCGTTTGCGACAGCAGATCTTGCGCCGCCGCACAGTGATTCAGATTAATCTGAATCACTTTCATGCCCTGTGCTTATGGCCTTCTCTGGAGGACGCCACCAGTGGGCAGGAGCGGCTTCCGGCCTGGTGCCTCGTGTCCTTCCTTTTAAGCTGCTCGCACTTGAAGCAGTTCGCTGGGTTCTGGCACTCTGCTATCTTGTGCCCTTCTTTCCCACACTTAAAGCAGGCCTTGCTCCTATCTACGGGACTCCGACACCTGCTGGCCGTGTGGCCCGTGTCCAGACACCTGTAGCACTTAAGTTGGTGCTCCAGCTCCTTAATCCGGCACCTGGTCCATCCGACCTTCACCTTGCCAAGGTTATTGAGGGCGCCTGCAAAACCCGCCGGAACCGTGAAGGTTGCGGACTGGCTTCCTGTGGCCAAGGCTCGTAAACCTTTAACGGTCACCGAGTTCGAGGGGAGGTTTGCCTGCTTGACCAGCGCATCCTCTAACTCCTCCTTTATTGTTAGCTCGTCAAGGTCCCAAATCCGGAAGGAGACCTGGGGCGTCAACGTGCGGATCGTGGCTCCAGCTCCGAGGGCTTTGCCAATCAGATCCCTGATGCCACTGGTTTGAGCCTCCGAGTTGCGCTTGATCTCCAGCAACAGCTCGCCTTTGGCTGTCTTCCTGACCCTGGAGACGCTGTCGCTAACTTCTTCCATCTTGGATGTGGAGCGTGGCTCCGTCGATGTGTTTCGTTGATCAGAGCGTGGCTCTGAGTGATGTGCCGTGGATGGCTCTTCGTGGTTGGAGTGTGACTCCGTCGATGTAATTCGCTGATCAGAGCGTGGCTCTGAGTGATCTGCCTTGGATGGCTCTTCGTGGTTGGAGTGTGACTCCCTCGTCGTTCTTCGTTGGTCAGAGCGTGGCTCTGCGGGCTGGTCCCGTGGGTTGGAGCGTGGCTCCCTTCGCTGGTCAGAGCGTGGCTCTGTCGTTGGTCTTCGCTGGTCAGAGCGTGGCTCTGTTGTTGGTCTTCGCTGGTCAGAGCGTGGCTCTGTCGTTGGTCTTCGCTGGTCAGAGCGAGGCTCTGTTGTTGGTCTTCGCTGGTCAGAGCGTGGCTCTGTTGTTGTTCTTCGCTGGTCAGAGCGTGGCTCTGTCGTTGGTCTTCGCTGGTCGTTCGGTCGCAGTCGGAGGGTCTGCCCTATATTTTATTTATTTTATTTCGATTTATTTTAATTTTATTGATTTATTTTAATTTTTATTGATTCATTTTCATTTTTATTGTTTCCGTTTATTTATTTGCATTAATTATTATTATTATTATTTTTTTTTTTTATGAAATTTGTTATTATGTTCTCGGCGGCAGGATCTCGCAGGATTCTTTGAGGATTCGTGGGCGTCCTTAGCTGGGTTAAAGAATAGTGATAATCTTCCCGGTGTGCAAGGATACGACGACGAGTTTTGATGCGTCGATCTTTCGAGGTGTAAGGTCTGCGACGATGTGTATTCAACGATGGTTTTAAGAGGGTATTAAAGACTGCGAGCGATGTGTATTCAAAGGGCTGATCTTGCGAAGTGTCTGCGAGCGATGTGTA